ATCTTTGGGCTGTTGCTGAGTAACCAATTTTGTTGTTGAAAGAGAGGTTATCTTTATTAACAGCTTCCCCAATTTCTAAATTAAAAGACTGGTCACGAAGTAATTTTCTAAAACTTCAATAGATTTTTCAACCTTCAGTGGCAGATCTTTTCTCAAGAGACTGTAAATCTAAACAGTTGGCGCTACAGACCTTGTAGATCTTTGCCCGCGAGATATGTTCTTCTAGACCACATCCCGATCACTGATTTAAGTACACGGGGGTAGGGTCATCAGTCCTATGCCCGGTCGGTGTGAGTTGCCTCCAGTAGGCTGACGGGTCACACAAACCCGGGGGAGTCTCGGGCAGCTTGGCTTTCCCTGGTGGACGGTCACCCATCCAAGTGCTAACCACGCTCGGCGTTGCTTAACTTGGTTACCTATTGCAAGCGCCTCGCCCTCACGGCTACCCCAGCCCCTTATATAGACATAATGAAATAAATATATTGAGCATATATATATACATAAGATATATATATATATATATATATATATATATATATAATATATATATATATATATATATATATATATAAACATAATTATTTAAATTGAGAATTAGGTCACTTAATAATTATTTTATAAACTACAAAATGTTGATTGGTCCTGCTGTTTATTCTACATTTCGATCCCGGTTTTGCTCAATCACTACCGAAGGTAGGGAAGCATTGTGTTCGTGCGAGAGGTTAAAAAAAAATTGTGCTCAGAATCGAAAATTTTCACTCTCGTTTTAAGTTTCAGAGATCAAGGATCAAATTTGGTTCGGTGTCTGTCTGTCTGTCTAGTCAAACGGGCATATCATCTAGAACCGTTCATCCGATTTTCATGAATTTTTTAGAGATTATGCGAATAGATGGCCCCATATCAATATTATCAAATTCCATCCAGCACTTCCACTTACGCACGCGCAAACGTATCCATTTTTTAGATATGCCAATATTTCAGAAAGGGCTCATTCGATATGGCTCAAAGTTAGATAAAAGGTAGGTTATGGTGAAAAAATAACGTAATGTCAATTTTATTGAATTCTATAAATTAATTTCTCGTATATATGCGCAAACGTGTTTTCCTCGATACGTCTATATCTCTAAAACAGCATGTTCGATTTGGCTCAAATTGGGAGGGAAGTTAGGGATTGGTAAACAGATAATCAGGTAGTTATGAATTTTATCAAATGCTATCCACTTCTTCTAGAAGAAAACACTTTCGCTTTCAGCAACACTTCAGCAAACCTATTATTTGACAAGCCTATAGTTTGAAAACTGCTCTTTCAATTTGACCCAAACTTGGAGGAAATTCGGAGAATAGAATAGGAATTTCCTAATATGAATTTCTTTGCATTCCATTTAATAATTAAAATTAATATAAATAATTGGTAACAATATAATGGCAGTGAAATGTGAAAGACACTGATCATATGGCGTGGGAGGTGGGTTATGACAATATTTTTATGAAGTTATAAAATTTTAGGTTTTATTCAAAGAGTTAATTTATACTATATTGTTTCGTCGATTCCAAACGTTACTTAGATTTCGTGTATTTTTCAATAATTTTTTTTTAAAAAATTTATGAAATTTTTCATGTGGACAATAATTATTACAACACATTTATACCATATATATAGAACATATAAAATTAACAAAAGTAAAATAATAATCAAAATCAATAAATTTAAATTAATTTATACTAGTGCTCCGATCCACATATTTCCCTGATTCTTGGAAAATATCTATTGTGAAAATGTTACACAAACCTAAAAAACTACCCGAACACCCATCCTCTTACCGTCCTTTTTCTCTGTTACCTATCATGGGCAAAATCCTGGAAAAACTCATCCTAAAACGCCTGTATCCCATCCTAGACTCTAATCATATTATCCCTGATCACCAATTTGGATTCCGCACATCGCATTCCACTATCCAACAATGTCACCGTGTGGTTGATGTAGTCTCCTCTACATTGGAGCGCGGTATGTACTGCAAGGGAGTCTTTCTCGACGTTGAACAGTCGTTTGATCGAGTCTGGTACCCGGGTCTACTGTACAAACTCCGAAAAGTCCTACCCCCTACATACTTCCTCATTATCCGCTCCTATCTTACTGATAGGTACTTCAAAGTAAACCAAAATAATGTGTTCTCATCCCTCTTTGCTCAATCTGCAGGCGTTCCACAAGGTAGTATCCTCGGTCCCATCCTCTACACAGTTTATACAGCTGACATCCCAACCCATCCTGACACTGTCATCACCACTTACGCCGATGACACATGTTTGCTATCTGTTAATAACGATCCTTTAATTGCATCCCAAACTCTTCAATCACATATCACCTTGAAGAATGGTGTAAAAATTGGAGAATAAAAATAAATTCCAACAAATCCCATCAAATCACCTTTACCCTCCGTCGTAAACCTATGACGTCTTGTCCTACAGTAACTTTCAATAATACTCCACTTATTCCTGTTGAGCAAATCCACTACTTAGGACTCCATTTGGATAAACGTCTTACTTGGAATCCTCATACTAGACTGAAACGACAAGAAACTGCTCGACGTTTCCGACTGCTCCAAACTTTCTATTAATTACAAAAGACTTATCTACATAACTATAATAAGACCTATATGGACATACGGAGTTGAGCTTTGGGGCTCCACCAAACCATCGAATTCCTATCGTATCCAATCCTTACAATCCAAAATCCTCCGTAAAATCCTAAATGCTCCATACTTTGTCACAAATAAAACCATTCATAAAGACCTTAATGTACCATATGTCGCTGATTTAGCTCGAGCCAGATATCTATCCTTTCATGATAAACTGCAGTCCCATCCAAATCCGCTTGTTTCCACTCTTGCTTCTTTCTCGATTCCTGATAATCCTCCTAGGCGTCTGAAAAGGAGATGGCCCCGTGATCTTCTTACTTAAAATTATTTAGAGAGTGCTACCACTGGGTAGTAACTCTTCAAGCCTGTACATGCCATTATTTATATATGCGCATATTTACTTGTTGTATTTGTATACAGTTGTAAATTCCATTAAATAAATAAAAATTTTTACTCTGTTTGTAAAAAAGAAAAATCTTATTTATGATTGTGTTTATTTCAATTGAAGTTCAACCAGCTCGTCGTGGTGTCGAGTTTATGTGTGATTTTTACATATATTTTTATATTATCCAGCTTAAATTGTTTTGTTCTGACTGAAGTATTGGTCTCGTTAACTGAAAAACAAAAAGATTAATTTTTCTTATTTCTCTTATACAGCTTTTGTAACATCAATTTTACGAGTGAAAACATGACGATTAAGTACATATTACCACTATAAGTGGAAAGCATTCTGCTACGATGGAAAATAGCAGAGGGCAATAAAGTATGAAATTATACTAATAAATCATAACCAAACAATTAGTTTTTATGCTTTGCTCTAAAACACTCAATGTTTACATACTTTTTGCACTAACAGTAGTGATATTCAAGTTCAGTACGAACTCAAGTTTTTTTCAATCCCGAATCATCAAATATGCAATCTGCATAAGCGGAACTTCGCATTTTAGTATTCGCTCATGAAAAAAACTCGTAGATATCAAACCAGTATATGTTGAGGGATTTCTGAATTTCCGAAAAAGGCTTCTCCCAGAGATTTTATACTCATCTGAAAAATTTTAGACCTTGTAATAATAGACATTTTTTTTAGCCGATGCAAACGGTGAGGAAGATATACTGACCTTCCTTGGTAGACTTGTTTTTTTTTTTTTTTGTTTTTTTAGTTAACAATGGGATCCTCTTCAATGTTTTAAAATAGAGCCTCGATACCTCAGGCCAGGAATACACCGACAGCCTAAGACCTGTCCACTAGCACTTATATTTATCTACTCGCTTGTGTATATATATATATATATATATATATATATATATATATATATATATAGGGGCTGGGGTATCCGTACGGGCTAAGGTGCTTGCAATAGATAATCAAAGTTAAGCAACGTCGAGCGTGGTTAGTACTTGTATGGGGGACCGCCCAATTTGGGTGACCGGCCACCAGGGAAAGCCAAGCTGCCCGAGTCTCCCCCCCCCTGGTATGTGAGGCCCGTCAGCCTACTGGAGGCAACTCACCCCATGTACTTTCGGAATCAGAAATCGAGATGTGGTCTACCAGGATGTTAGTAGCCCCCTGAGGTTCGGTCCAAGGACGGTCTGTTTCGTGGAAAGAAGTATAGGTCCTCGTGCGCCTGCTGACTCCGAGCAGTCATAATCCATGGATCTAGACCGATTTGTCACTGTCCTTGAACCCGAGTGAGTCGGTGGGAAGGACACTGCCAGATTGGCCCCAAAGAGATCGGCTATGGAGACCATGGTTCGTAGAAACGTGAGGTTGGGTGACCCCCTCAAGGCTATCTCGGCTCCCGGAAGGAGCATACGTCTGCAAGGAGACCACATCTCTCGGCCAAAGATCTTCTTGGTCTGTAGTGCCAAACGAAAAAAAAAAAATAAAATAAAATATATATATATATATATATATATATATATATATATATATATATATATATATATATATATATATATATATACACACATATGTATACATATATGGATTTTATTAAAAATGAATTGAATAAACTAAAATTTTTATATTATTGTAAATTTAATGTACTTCAAAGGCTTAATTGGTCCATGGACTGGGAATGCTAAGGATCAAATAAACGACATCAATACATCTAATACTCTACATAATATAAAAAAAATTTATTAAAGTGCTTCAAGAGGAACCTTTGTACTTATTGCTTTATTCGCCATCACATGTGGCGAAAAATATTATGGCATATAAGAGAAGAACAAAATTTAATTTAATAAGGAAATAAAATAAATATTGGTGGAACAAATACCTTAATTAATAATAGTTCTTATGAATTAAGAAAAAAGTGTATTTATTTGTATTGATTTTCATTTTTAACACAAATTTTATTTTAGAATGCACCAGCAGTTTGCTGAACAAAATGAAGTTTCAATCAAGAAAATTTGCAGGAATGATTGGAGAATATGTTACTGAAAAAAATCCTACAGATGATGAGAAAAGTAAGTTCAAAATTTACTTTTATCAATTTTTTTTTAGATCCTTTTTTATAAATGTATTTATGAAAACTTTATTGATTACTGAAAAATATACTTTTTCGTTTCCCACATTTGTGTTTACATCCCCTCAAAATATTTATGTTATAGCGATATTCTACTATAATATTTCTTAACATTTATGTATATTCAAATAGAAAAAAAACATTAGTTTACCAGTACGAAATCTATTGTTGATCAGAGAGTAACATAGCATAGTACTAAAAACAACAGATAATTAATTAATTATACAGGTTGGCTTGTTTTCATACTAATATAAGTACATCTTCGTGGATAAATGCAAAGGAAAATGAAATATTCTTACTGAAACTGACAGGATGAAGTGGGTTTCTGGAAATTTTAGGTAATGAGAAGGGAGTCTTAGTAGGATGAGATATGAACTAGTGATGGGCAAAACTGTTTAACATTCCGCTACTTTCAAAAAACAGTTTCAAAAAAACAAAATGGCCGCTACTGCAGTTTAGTTTTCAGTTCGCTCTGCGATTATTACTTTGCTATGTGCTTATTAGTCAAAACTCTGTGTTAATAATTGATTAACAGTGACATTATAAACAGTTGAACATTTTTAAGTTCACGGATAAAGAGGTGAGTTACAATTTATTAACAATGAAGTGATAAATTAGTGCTCGTTTGAATAGCCCATGTGGCTGTTAATTCCATTGCTTCTTATCTTATTTACGTTAAGTTCCCGGCCAAGGTTTGTATACTAGCTCGCTTCCGTCAGCTGATCACAGTACGAAACCAAAGACTTGTAGAACTCCTTTTTTTTTTTTTTTTTTTTTCTTCTCCAAGAGACAGTTTATTTATTTTTTTCCTTTGTTTATTTATTCTCAGAAATGTTTTGTTTTATTTCTGTTTCTGAGTTTGTAATTTTTTTTTTACTTCTTTTTAATAGATCGTAAATTCTTATTTTGTAGTTTTAATATTTAGGTATATATATATATCTTTTTTTCTTTCTTTTCTCTTCTTATCATAATGGAAGATATGAATTTGGACGAGAAATCTTCATGTGAAGATTCAGAGGACGAGACACCATTTTCCGAGGTTAGCGAAACTGATTCGCAATATCTGAAAAGACGCTCGCTTCAAAAACGTAACAGAAACTCTGCCCCTGGGTCAGGTGGCAATTCGCCTAACAAGAAGAAAAATAAATCAGCAAAATCTAAACAGACAGCTGAACAAAATAAATCTAAACAGCCTGCCGAGCAAAATAAATCACCACCCAGAACTAGAAGCAAATCAAACATCACAAAAACAGCTCCAACTGCACCAAATACCACAGCCAGCAATAATTGTGATCTTGGTAGTAACTCACCTAACAAGCCTCCGGCACAAGACCCCGAGCCGCCCCCTATTTTTGTCTCTAAAATTAAAAATTTTATATCATTCGTTCAAGAAATGCCAATCTTATCGGACAAACCAGTTTCCGCTGTTTTTCTAGGGTTAATGACATTAAGATTAACACGAGCTCTAAAGAAAATTATAAAACTCTGATAAATTATTTTACAACTAAAAAATATGAATTTCACTGTTACCAACTGAGACAAGAAAAGGCATATCGGGTGGTATTGAGAGGCTTGCACTCAACCACTCCCATATCCGTTATCAAATCTGATCTAGAGGTAATAGGACATAACGTTAGGCATATAGCATGCGTCCTACATCCAACGCAAAAATATCCATTGCCACTGTTTTTCGTTGATTTGGAGCCTGCAAGCAATAACATTGACATATTTCAAGTTAAGAGGCTTACGTATTCCACAGTAAAATTCGAAGAGCCTAGACAAAAACCTGTCATAGTTCAATGCTCCAAGTGTCAAGACTTGGGGCACACAAAGACCTATTGCCATCATCAAGCGAGGTGCGTTAGATGTGCCGGGCCACACGCATCTAACACTTGTCAGATCCCTCAAGACCAACCTCCTAAATGTGCTCTCTGTGGCGAAGACCATCCTGCAAGCTATAAAGGATGCATAGTATATAAAAAATACTAAAAGTTAAGAACTCATAACATAGCCTTAAAGTGCAGCCAACTAAATAAAGAAACTTACACCCAGCCACCAGAAATTGATATTACAAATTTTCCTGAGTTGCCAAAACAAACTACCCATTCAACACAACAAGAACCAACTACTTCAACTGAAATCGCCCATCCTCAACAGGAATCTACCAAAACTAGCACCCATACCACCATCAAGAAGCAGCAGCCTCGACGCCAGGCGCCTCAGGCCTCCCAAGCTAAACCTCATACTCCCAATCCTCTCATATTTCATCCTCCGCGACAGCAAATTCCCCCTCATCATCTACCTCTACGAGTCAAATTACCGCCACAGCAATCGCACCCATCTCATCCTAATGCCCAGAAAAAAAACCCAGCACAAGTATCGTCAAATCCAGTCCCACCTCGTACACAACAACGAATCCCACTCTCAGTTAACACTCCTTACCCGCCACCTGAACCTATCCTAAATCCACTTCACAATCAACATCCATCTGATCTAACTTCCATTCTATCATCCTTCCTATTGGACCTCCAAAACACCATAAAACCTCTTATCACTCTACTAACCAGAATCCTGACCGAAATTCCGTTTAATTTCCCTCGATGAGCACAAAGCCCCTAACTATCCTTTTATGGAATGCTAACGGACTACACAACCACCGTGACGAACTTGACATATTCCTTCATGACAATCACATTGATATAGCTCTACCGACTGAAACGCATTTCACAAAACGGACACATTTTCACATACGAGACTACATCACTTATAGATCTGACCATCCAGATAACACTGCCCACGCCGGTTCTTGCATCCTTATACATAAATCTTTACCCCATTCCCTTATTCCTTCCACTCCAACTGACGCCATTCAATCAACTTCTTTAATCCTTTAACTCGCCCTTTCCATTTCACAGTCTCAGCTGTTTACTGTCCTCCTGGTAATTCCCTCTCCTTTAATCTCCTTGATACATTGTTCCAATCCCTCGGATCGCGCTTTATTGCTGGAGGAGATTACAATGCTAAACACCAACGGTGGGGTTGTCGAACATCCAACTCCCGCGGTAACATCCTTTCCCGTCTCTCATCTTCTAATAGTTATTCAATCCTCTCGCCCATGAGTCCTACTTATTGGACAACATCCCTCAAAAAACGTCCCGATATCCTGGATATATTTATCACCTCCCAGATTTCCTCCTCCCAAACTATAATCAAATCCCTGGATGACCTTTCTTCAGACCATAGTCCGGTTCTGCTTTCATTACATTCTGACTTTGCTCCTAAACCATCACCTCCCAAACTGATCACTGGACGAGTAAACTGGGACAAATTTCGTGATGATTTGGAAAACAAACTTGACCTCAAAATTCCGCTAAAGACAAAAGAAGACATTAATGGTGCCATAGAAAAACTGACATCAACAATAACAGACAGTATAAATAATAATACCTTTACCAATAAGATTAACAAACCACAAAAATACAAATCGCATTCCATTATCAAATCGCTGGATGACCTTTCATCAGATCATGGTCCAGTTCTGCTTTTACTACATTCAAATCTTGCTCCTAAACCCTTACTTCCTAATTTGATTACAGGACGAGTAGACTGGGACAAATTTCGCGATGATCTGGAAAATAAACTGGACTTAAAAATTCCGCTTAAGACAAAACAAGATACTGACATAGCAATAGAAAAACATCAATAACAACCACTATAAATGATAACACTCCCGTCAACAAAAGAAATAACTCATGACATATTAACTTGCCACAGCATATTCGCATCTTATTAAAGGAAAAACGCAGAGCAAGATCGAAGTGGCATCGAACTAGATACCCGACAGATAAAGCGCATTACACCCAACTGACTAACAAACTGAAATCAGAAATAAGAAAATACAAAATTCAAAATTTACTAAATTTTACTGAAAAACTTACACCTACCGATAAATCACTATGGACGACCACTAAAAGGCTCCTGAAATTTAAGGACTGCAACCATCCACTACTCACTGAAGCCCAAACCTGGTCCAAATCCGACGAAGAAAAATCCCAAATATTTTCCCACCACCTCTTTAAAACCTTTAATCCACATCCCGATATTCTTAACCCAAATCACCTTGAATGTATTGAAGCAGAACTGGATATCCCACTCCAAATGACTCCTCCTCCTAAAGCCTTTCATCCTTCAGAAATATCCAACATCATTCACAGGTTACCTTCCCGCAAAGCTCCACGACACGACCTAATTACATCCCAGATCCTAAAACTACTTCCTCGGAAAGCCATTCTATTCCTTATATATATATATAATGCTGTACTCCGATCAACATATTTTCCCGACCCTTGGAAACTATCCATTATCAAAATGATACATAAACCCAAAAAGCCACCAGAATACCCATCCTCTTACCGCCCTATCTCTCTTTTACCCATCATGGGAAAAGTCCTAGAAAAACTCATCCTAAAACGCCTGTACCCAATCCTAGATTCTAATCACATAATCCCAGATCACCAGTTTGGATTCCGCAGATCCCATTCCACTATCCAGCAATGCCATCGTGTGGTGGATGTTGTCTCCTCTGCATTAGAGCGCGGAATGTACTGCACGGGAGTCTTTCTCGATGTAGAAGAGGCTTTTGATCGAGTCTGGCACCCGGGATTACTTTACAAACTCCGTAAATTGCTACATCCTTCATACTTCCTCATTATCCGTTCCTATCTAACTGATAGATACTCAAAAGTCAATCACAATAATGCTTATTCATCCCTCTTTTCCCAGTCCGCTGGTGTTCCTCAAGGTAGTATCCTTGGTCCTATCCTTTACACAGTTTATACAGCTGACATCCCAACCCATCCTAACACTGTTATTACCACGTATGCCGATGATACATGTGTCCTATCCGTTAATAATGACCCAACCATTGCATCCCAAACTCTT